GTGCGCCGGGCGGGGGCCCCTGCGAGGCGCACACCGCCGGCGCCGCCGCCATGGCCCTGCTCCGCGGCCGCGGCTGGCTCCGACCGAGAACGTTCCGCGTTCCGGGTGCGGCCCGGGGCGGGGTCAGGGGACTGCGCCAGGTGTGCCCGACGCCCGCCTGGTCACCTGAGCTGAGCTGGGTGCGGCGGGCGCGGCCCGGGGGCGCCCTGGCCGTGTTTTCTAGGCAAGATCTGGCCTTCAGAAGCCTATGCTGAAGGCAGATGGGCGCACAGATTAGGGTGGCCCAGGACCCCTGCATCCCAAGGAGCACGAAGCACTGCGTGGTCAAAATTCAGGGTGCTTTAATGGAGACAGCGTAAGGCTCTGCGGGAGCCCCGGCCATGTTTCTGTTCATTGCCGCCTCCAGGCGCTTCCTATGCACCAGAGCCTACGGTGGGGACAGGTGCGGTCATAAACAAGGAGCAGACAAGGCCCCAGACTCCAAGGAGCCCCAGGAGGCAGAGAATCAGCAGTCGGAGTGCCCTAGGGGAGGAAACGGCTCTGCGGAGCTGACCTTTCTCTCACTCATTGCTTACCTCCTGGGGGCTTCCTGTATGTCCAAGGGACAAAGGCGGATCGGACTCAAAGGAACTCTGCCGCCACCATCAGATTCAAGGCACTCTAGAGGCGGCAGCAGGGCAAACCCCAACATTGCTGTTTCTCGGTAGGCTCCTCCTGTGGCCTCTGGACTGTTAGGATTCTTCATCGGCGAAGTCCAGGCGCACAGAGATGGCCCAGTCAAGGCCCCTGCCCTCAATGAGCTCCCAGACATAATCACAAATTGAGGCTCACTAATGGAGGTGACATGAAAGATTATCATTCCTTTTGTTCACTTGGAGTCTCGCCCAGCCCTGTGATGGTGAGGCTGAGGATAGTTCAGCATGGTTCCTGCCCATTAAAGATGGCCCAAAATTGGGGGGAGGGGGTAGCTCAGGTGGTATAGTGCATGCTTAGCATGCATGAGGACCTGGGTTCAATCCCTAGAACCTCCTCTAAGAATAAATAAACCTAATTACCACCCCCCCAAAGGAAAGAGGAAACAAAAAGATGGCCTGAAATTAACTTCTATAAAGTGTAACGGGTGTGCCATAGGGCGGACTGGTGCGGGGAGGGATAATGGGGCTGGAGGTCGCGGGGCACAAGGAAGCGGCTGGGCGAACAGGTATGGAACCCCTCAAGAATCCGAGAGCTTTCCCAGGCAAATCTCTTTTCCTCCAAATACAACTCGCCCTTAGAGGAAATCCATGCTCCCCTGGGGTGGCCATCAGCGAGAAGGTTCGGTCCAACTTTTCTCTAGACTCTAAATAGTTGAGTTTATTTTAAGAGCACCCTGGGGAGGGCGAATTGAAAGTGGGGGGTCCCGGGGTAAGCCGAAGCGTTCCGAACGTGGCTGAAGGGAGACCGAGTGTTTCCGAACAGATCCGAAGCAGGCATGGGCCAATAAGGGGAAGGCTGCCACCACTTTGAAGAGTGATTCCGGACGGTTCCGAAAATGCCCGAATGAGCCCGCCGCTTTCGTCCGGAATAGCTGAGGGCCTACGAAGACTGGAGGCCCCCGAAGACTCTGTAGCTAGGTTTAAATAGTTCACGCTCTCACACATTCATTCACAAAAAAAATGTTTATTGAACCCTCATCTTGTGTCAAGCACTGGGTGGTAATATTGGAGAAAGGCCGTTGAAGGGATAGAGCTGGACCCACTCGGAAATCCAGTCATGGAGTTCCGAAAACACACGAAGAGCCCTCGGAATGGTGCCCCTCCGGGTCGAGAACACGCCCTCGGGTCCCTAGCCGAAGAATTCCGAAGGTTCCCGAACGTTTTACGACTGGCTGGCGGAAATAACCGAATGTTGCCGAGCTGCCTCGCCGGCGGGCGGAAGCAGGCGGGGAAAGGCGACGGCACGCGCGTGCCCGGAGAGGAAGCGGAAATGCGTGTCTATATTAAAAGCATCGCCCCGCCCCCGCCGTGCCTCTTTCCGTCTCCGGCCGCGGAGGAGTGAGGAGGTTAGTCGCGGCCCTTCGTCTGTCCGCGTGGCTGCGTCTCGTACCGGCCGCCGGGCGTCTGTGTACCTGCCTGGCCTTTCTCGCTGCGCCTCTTGCCTTCTTGGCTATCCTCCTGCCCCGCCGCCTTAGGTCGTTGTGGCTTCTCACCTTCTGGTCCGCCGTAGTTAGTCTCGGCCGCCTAAGTTCAACCCCGCGACCCTAGGCCGCGCAGCCCCACCTGGCATATTCCTCACGGTGCCCCCAGACACACGCTTCCTCTGTTGTCTGGCGTCGGCCTGCTTCTCCTTTGACATTTTCCCGTGCCCATTTCTCCGCAGCTGCCGCCATGTCCGCGCATCTGCAATGGATGGTCGTGCGGAACTGCTCTAGCTTCTTGATCAAGAGGAACAAGCAGACGTACAGCACCGTAAGTGGGGCCCCGACGCCTGGGTCTGAGGGAGGCGCCTTTAAGATCTCTGGGCCTCCTGCCACTTCACGATCCCGATGCGTCCTCCTTCCCAGGAACCCAATAACCTGAAGGCCCGCAACTCCTTCCGCTACAATGGACTGATTCACCGCAAGACAGTGGGCGTGGAGCCAGCGGCCGACGGCAAAGGTGTCGTGGTGGTGATGAAGCGGAGATCCGGTGAGCATTTGCCCTGGCTTGGCCCGGGCAGCACGGCGCCATCTGGGGCAGGGAGTTGTGGTTGTTCAGTGTCGGGCAGCGGGAGTGATTCTGCTGTCGAATCAAAGATTCCTGGGGTCAGGACGTTTGCCTGGGGAGCTGGCTAGGGCGCTTAATCTTTCATCATCTAGAAAGTGAAGAAATTAATGGTACCTGAACTGCCCTAGGTGCTTATTAGGATTAAATTACAGGGTCGCACGAATCAGTGATGTTTTCAGGTTCCATCCTTCAAGCAGCTCCGGTATCTGTCTCAACACAGGTGGGAAGATTGAAGCAAGTAGCTGGTGTACCTTGCCCTAGGTCCCACATGAAGGAAGTGACAGCTGGGGTCTGAAGCAGTATTTTGACCCCCATTCTGGCTGTGAGAACTCAGAAGGGGTGTTCAGCACCCCACCTCCGTAAACTGAGCTCAGGCACAGACAGGTCAAGGGGAGGCAGGAGTCTCTCTTGGTTTAACAGTTGAATCACGATATTCCACCTGCAGCTCCTTTTTCCTTAAACAGACAGTGGGTTTTTAAGAGCTAGGAGTGAGTTTTTCCCAGTCCCTGACTAGGGCAGATTTGTTTGGGTTCTGAGCCCAGTGTCAGACAGCAGTGGCCACACTTGCTGCTTTATCTCACGGAGAAAGGAGTTAGTCTCGCTTGTCAGGAACACACAGCCCCAGGAGCAAACACTTCCCACACTCCTGAGAACCCTGTTCTGGTGTGCTGGGCCCTGAAAATTTAGTTTTTCCCTTGGTTGGTGGATGCCCAACCTTTGCTGGGCTGTCAGGAACAGGTCAGACCTGAGGAGGTAACATGGCCTCTCTTCTGGGGTCAGTGAGGGCCAGCGTCAAACCTCAGGTATAGTAAGGGGTCCTTGGCTTCTTGGGGGAACACAGGACTCCAGCTGAGACCCTATCAGCTCTGGCACAAAAAAACGGGGTGTTTCCCTTTTTCTCCTGAGTAGTGCCTCAGGACTCTTCATACCCTGGCCCTCTCAGGGCTCCACATCACCTCAGCATGGGGGCCAAGCATCATAGCTCAGTGTATTAGACACTCGTTGCAGAGGGGTGGTTTGGAGGCTGCGGAAGGGAGAGGAGCCGGAGCTTCAGTCTGAGGAGCACTCATACCTGGCTTGCATGGTGCCCAATGCCTGTCTCACCCATGCTCTCCCTGGGTTCAGACAGCTGCTCTGTGCATCTAACCTTGAACAGGACAGTCCTGATCCTCTACTTCCATCACTGTCCAGTGAGATGAGTGCTGCGTCTCAGGGACACGGGGAAGGAGATACCTTTATGGTGCCCTGTGGTGCTGTTCCCTGCAAATGTCATATAAGTTGCTGCTTAGATATGGAGCTGCCTGCCCAGGCTCACACAGCCCACACTAAGGTTCTCTGGGTGAGATTGTGCTCTCACATCGGGGGTGAGCACTAAAAGTCCAGACTCCAGATCTGACTAATCCTTGGGGCTTCTTCCAATCTCCCACCAGGCCAGCGAAAGCCAGCCACTTCCTATGTTCGGACCACCATCAACAAAAACGCTCGGGCCACCCTCAGCAGCATCCGTCACATGATCCGAAAGAACAAGTACCGCCCAGATCTGCGCATGGTGAGTGGGGGCCCTGAGCCCCTGGCGCGTGGGGGAGTGACTACGCTGGGGAAGCCTTGCCAGTATGGTGAGGGAGGGCCCTCTGCTGAATGGAGCTGGGCCTGTGCTCTGGAGAAGGGGGCATCTCCCACCTGGGAGGCATGCGGGGGTGACAGGGACAGCTCTTGGGGTGGGTGAACTGAGCCCACCTCGTCCCCCAGGCCGCCATCCGCAGAGCCAGCGCCATCCTGCGCAGCCAGAAGCCTGTGATGGTGAAGAGG